GACGGGGTAAACGGAGCGGTATTCGTGTTCGCCTCAAGGCTTACTTAAACTCACTTGATGCGACCAGCTACCACGTATTTGTAAACACTCTATCTTCTTCTCATGCTCTCTGGGGCCGCTTCTGCTATAGATTGCCCTGCCATCGCTGGATAAATCCTGTTGGACGCTATGCGCACCTAGACTCCCCGGCCGAGTGCCCACCTGTTCGGAGCTGGGTGCGGCTTTCCAGAGGTAGTGTGAACTACAGCAATCTTCGCCTGCTGAGATCTGTTCCAACTAACAACAACCCGACTACACTTCGGATGGCTTTGCTAAATGTTAGATCACTGGCAAACAAGACTTTTATTTTAAACGACCTTTTCGTCTCAACTGGGCTGGATTTTCTTTATCTGACGGAAACCTGGCTTCGTCCTGAGGAATCTTCTGCTTTTTCAGAACTTCTTCCCCCAGATTGTGCCTTTGCTAGCTCTCCTAGGATCTCTGGCAGAGGTGGAGGATTGGCTTCGATTTTTAAACACAAATTTCGATGCCGGGAACTACCACCCATCTTTTTCACCAGCTTCGAGGTGCAGCTACTGGAACTGAACTGTGCTCCCCCAATTCTTTGTGCTGTGGTGTATCGACCCCCAAAATCTGTTAAGGATTTTATTTTTCAGTTTGCTGAACTACTAGGGAGCCTGTTTTTACGCTACGATCGTGTTTTAATTGTTGGTGATTTTAATATACATGTCTGTTGTGAGGCAAGCACACTAACAAAGGATTTCCTTGCCCTTATTGACACTTTTAATCTTACGCAATGGGTAAGTGAACCAACGCATTTAAAAGGTCATTCGCTTGACCTAGTTTTGTCCTACGGTCTGGATATTTGTATAACAGATATCAAGGACTCTGGGATCTCTGATCATTCTGTGGTTATGTTTAATGTTATGCTACGACATATGGAGCTTAACTGCCAGGGTCCATTACGGCAGATGCGCTCGATTAATTCTGAAACCATTACCAACTTCTCTACTCTTTTCGCCAACTCTGCGCTCCCCGACTCCGTCTGTTTTGTGGATTTATCGACTGACAAGCTTACCAACCTTTTTAATTCCACATGTTCTTCTATGCTGGACACTGTGGCTCCACATAAGACTAAGCGTACTAAGTCGTCATGCCAACCCTGGCTGAATGAAACTACCCGTGCTCTCAGGCGCGAATGCCGTCGTGCTGAGAGGAAGTATAAAAAGGATAAGCTCGTAGTGTCAGCGGAAATCTTCCATAATTGTCTGTCAAAATATCAGAAGAC